ATAGCTTTCCACCTTTCTTTACACAAATGGAAGAACACTACACGAACTGTTCTGTAACTTGCTTTTGTCACTTAAGTATCTTGGAGACTGTTCCATAACTGTGTATAAGGTTTGCTTTTGTCCTGGCTGCAGTGTTACGTGGTAATGCAGTTTAACCAATCCCCTGTTGATAGACATTTGGTTCCAATCTTTTGCCAATACGAGCAAAGCTGCAAGGAATAATCTACACATCCCCATTCTACCTGTGTGCAAATCTGAAGGGCTAATTCCTAGATGTCAAAGTCCTAGGTCAAAGGGTATGGGTCTTTGTGATTGAGTTTGATTTTGATGGAATATTGCCAAATTGCTCTCAGGTGGATGTGTTACCAATTTTTTATTCACCAACAAACAGGTGAGGCTTGTTTACTTAAACCCAATACCCTCTTCAACTCTCTATGAAACTTCTTGGTCATTGAGAATGTAAGTTAGGCATGATTTGCATCTGTCTTATGCTGAATGAAGTCAGGCATCTATTCCTATATTTGAGAGTTCTTTTTTATATTTCCTGTTCTGCGAAATGTGTACAGTTTTTTGTACATTTTTATTGGGTTCTTGGTATTTTTCTTACAGATTTGTAGGACATTTTTATGTATCAAAATTAGCTCTTTCTAATACGAGTGATATTTTTCTTTAGATTTTCATTTGTCTTTTAACTTTCGCTTTTTTTTTTTACCACGCATACTTTTAACATTTTAAATACATATTTAAATATATCAGTCTTTTATGACTTCTGCATCTTGCTTTCATACTTATGTCTTCCCTACTCCAAACTGTTTACTTCTGTGGTATTCTTACCAGAAATGCATAACCTCAATCTAATCACGAGGAAACACTGGACAAATCTAAATTGAGGGACATTCTGCAAAATAATTCACCAGTACTCCACAGATGTGTCAAGATCATGAAAGGAAAAAAAGAAAAGGGACTGTCTCAGATTGGAAAAGCCTAAGGAGACGTGACAACTAAATGCAATGTGAAATCCTGGGTTAGATCCTGAGTCAGAAAAAATGCATTAATGGGAAAACTGGAGAAATTCAAATATGACTTGTAGATTAGTTAATAGTATTGTATCAACACTAATTTCCTGGTTTCCATAATTATACCATGGCTATGCAAGATGTGAACATCTGGAGAAGCTGGGTGAAGGGTATACAGGACATTTGTACTGTTTTTGAAACTTTTCTGTGCTCTAAAATTATAAGGTATTGATCCATATTTTTCCCCCAATGGCTACTCAGTTGTTCTAATAAACTTTATTGACTAAACCCTTTCCCCACTGATTTTTAATTTTTTTACTTTTAAATTATAAAAAATACATAAAACTTACCATCTTAACCATTTTTAAGTGTACAATTCAGTAGTGCTAAGTACATTCATATTGTTGTACAACCAGTCTCCAGAACTCTTTTCATCTTGCAGAACTGAAACCCTCTACCCATTAAACAACTCCCCCTTTTCCTCTCCCCCGGCTCTTGGCAACCACCGTTCTACATTCCGTCTCTATGACTTTGAGCCTACTCTTGGTACCTCATATAAGTAGAATCGAGAAGTATTTGTTTTTTCATGACTGGCTGATGCTGATTAACAAGACACTAATTTCACAATAAAATGAAAACCTATTTTTGATGCTAATTGGCAAAGCCTCGGGTGGTGGCTAAGAGAGAGATAGTTGAGGTGCTTGTAGTAAGTACTTCTGGAGTGTGAAGGAATTGAGGCACAGAGAGGTTTAGTGACATGTTGGTGATCACACAACCAAGGAGAGAGGGTGCACGTTAACCCCAGGATTGGCTCCACAGCTCGCTTCCGGTCTCTGCCCCAGGCTGGGGATCAAAGAAGAGAGCCAAGGCATGGAAACCAGCAGCATCTGGGTGGTGTCTGAAGAGGTGGATGAAGTCACCCAAGGAGTAGTGACCACTGGCACTTAAGAGGCAAGCAGAGGCGACAACCCGGTAATATGTCCCCAGTGACTGGCCAGCTCTGGGTTCTCAGTCAGTATTCATTAGCTGAGCCTAAAAAGCAGCAGCCAGAACAGGGGGAGGTAAGCCAGGGGAACTAATTTCAGAAACGAAGGGAGAACAAATTTCAAATGAGGGGAGTGGTCAACATATTGGAAAGAGATCAAACTCTAGTCTGAGAGGGAACCTCTGGATTTAGGAACAAGGAAATCATTGGTGATGAGAGGTTTCTTGGGATTATTGCAGGAGCAAGAAAGTGCTGGTAAATGTTTAACAACCCACTTTCCAAATAAAGTATGCATTTGTGTATGTACATAAGTTTTATAAATTTTACTGATATTAAGGATATGTAACAGAATCCACAAATAATAAAATGTACAATATTTTTTATTGTAAATGCTATTCTGTATCCATGATTTCATAAATGGAGTTATAGCCTAAGTACAAATGCAGTTCCAACGTGAACGTTCGTTGATGTTTTCATTTACGTTTTTGAGTAAGACAAAAATGAAACACACGATATGCTGAAACCTCACAGATTCCTCAATGACTTGAGTGATTTCTTTGCTGAAACTGACAACAGTTTTCAAGTCCCAGAATGTACCCTCAACTTTCTGTGCTATTCACAGTGTGACAGCCTATAGACATGACACTTCAAGATTCTTTTTTTTTTTTTTTTTTTTTTTTTGGTGGTACGCGGGCCTCTCACTGTTGTGGCCTCTCCCGTTGCGGAGCAACAGGCTCCGGACGCGCAGGCTCAGCGGCCATGGCTCACGGGCCCAGCCGCTCCGCGGCATGTGGGATCTTCGCGGACCGGGGCACGAACCCGTGTCCCCTGCATAAGCAGGCGGACTGTCAACCACTGCGCCACCAGGGAAGCCCAAAGATTCTTTTTTAATTAATTAATTAATTAACTTATTTTTGGCTGCGTTGGGTCCTCGTGGCAGTGCGTGGTCTTCTCATTGTCGTGGCTTCATGGCTTCCCTTTTTGAGGAGCATAGGCTCTAATGCGTGTAGGCTTCAAGAGTTGTGGCTTGCAGGCTCCAGCGCTCAGCCTCAGTAGTTATGGCACACGGGCGTAGTTGCTCCGCGGCATGTGGAATCCTCCTGAGCCAGGGCTCGAACCCGTGACGTTGCAAAGGTCCACCTTTTTTTCCTCGCGGACAACCTGCTCCCTTTCTTCTCTGCTCTAGCCACACTCGAGGACCTCACTCAAACAGCCCCTGAGAAGCAGCACTCCTGCCACCTTCGGCAATTTCATCACTCCTTCGTAGCACCTGTAAATCGCCTCTGCAGCTTTTATAACAATTTAGAACTAAACTACTCTGGGAGTACCACACACTTCTCTTTCCATGAGCCGCAATATCTGTGATGGCAGAGGATCAAACATCTACTCCCTCAGTGCCTACTACAGCATACAGTACTAGTATCCATAAAGAAGCGCTGCCAGAAAACAGAGAGCTAGGAAAAGGTTATCTACGTATAGTAATCACCTGCAGGGCATCACCAGAAAACATCTCCTTGCATGTGTTTTTGCTTGTTTAAAACAACCTGGGGCTTCCCTGGTGGCGCAGTGGTTGAGAGTCCGCCTGCCGATACAGGGAACGCGGATTCCTGCCCCGGTCCAGGAAGATCCCGCATGCAGCGGAGCAGCTGGGCCCCTCAACCATGGCCGCTGAGCTTGCGCGTCTGCATTCTGTACTCCGCAACAAGACAGACCACAACGGTGAAAGACCCGCGTACCGCTTAAAAAAGGAAGGCCTGGATTCCACCTTTTAAAACTGAAATGTACGAACAAAGCTTTCCCAACATACAACCCTTCTCTTGAAAATGTGAGCTTGCAAATAAATACCCCCGTGACAAGACCAAACCTTCGACTCCTGTAGTTTTCGCAACACCTAACAGCACGTTTCAATAACTTCTTTTTGAACGCATTCTTGCTATAAACTACCAAGCAAAAACGGGGTACTTTTACTTACACTACTGACTGAAAACAGAAGCTTCAACAGGTTTTTGAAAGAAAGATTCCACAAGGAAACTGAAATAAAACACACAACTCTCTTCTGCACAGCGAAATGAAAGATTCTATAGTAATACTGCCAGAATAAAAACCATAACAAACACAGAAAACCCACTCCTCAAAAACCCAAGGGCACATAACACGTTATTAGAAACTTAAAAAGTAACATTAGCCAACACTTTCCACCGTAGTTCTTAACATATGTCTAATAATTACCAGTTCACGATCTCTCCAAAGAAAGAGAAAAACTCTAAGCTTCCTTTCAAAAAAAAATACCTCATCTTTGACAAACATCTCAAGAACTGCCTGTACTCCAAACACCTCTATGTGCGCAAACCCTCCCCACCCCTTTCTTTCTCTCAGTAAGTATACCAACTCACCGAAAACAGTTAACCATTACCCACAGAAAAAACTACACTAAAATTTAAGATCGTCAGAAAGAATCAGAAAGGAGCAATCAGGATGTTGCAAAGCCTGATTACGCACAGCCGTTAATCACGAAATCATGCGAGCTCCAATCATCATATTCTATTCTGTTCTCCACAAGGAGAAACAGGTAAGGATTAGCCTACCTGACGATACAAAACGTTTTGGGGCATTCCGTACTCTGGGAAAAAGATTCCACTATGAGCGAGGGTGAGAATCCAACACGTTAGCCTGAGCAAGCTAAAGCTATCTAGGTTCTTCCATTTATGCTGCTACATTTATTTGCAGATGTTATAAAATATATTTTTGCATTTGGCGTCAAAAAAGCATAAGTTAATTCCTCCCAGAACGCTCCACTCACTTAAGAGCTTGCTGTCCTACCCGGCCGCCTCACTTTATTTACATATCCCCGCCCGCTCCCTTCCGCCAGAAATCTACCGTAATAACCAAAATAAAAGCGACATCTAGTATCTTAGAGTGCAAGACTGTTCCGTTTCTATAGTAGATTGGCCACCCCAATTTTCTCCTGAAATTTTTATGTCTTGATCTTTCTTTCTTTCTTTTTTTTTTTTGGCCATGCTGCGCGGCATGCGGGATCTTAGTTCCCCGACCAGGGATCGAACCCGCGCCCCCTGCAGTGGAAGCGCGGAGTCCTAACCACTGTACTGCCACGGAATTCCAGTAAGTCTTGATCTTACTCTAAAATATATTTTTTTACGAAGAAGTGTAAACAAAACTCATAACTCCAGACTCGAGAGACAATTACCCTAACACTGATATCCTCCACCAAATGCAGTTTTAGGGGGAGGGCTGAAGTCTATGGTTTCCTTCTTCCAGGAATGGTGAGTGGTCCCTCGCTTCTCCAGCCTTCATCCCTCCTTCCAGTCACGAAGGTATCAGAAAGGTTTCTTTTTCAGCCCAAAGACGCTGATGAATAATGCTATTTCGGTGACGGCTGGGATGGCACTACGGAAGGTAGGTGATAGGTTTAGGGTCCCTTCCAATAAAAATATCCCCCAAGCCAGCAATCCCACCCCCAAAGTGTAGAGTGGGGGACCTCAAAAAGACCACGGGATGTTGAGTGGATCTGATATCTTATACATGGAGTAAAGGGCTGGGTAGGGGAAACCTTCAGGTTTAAAGTAAACCGTCCTTCCCCATCCTCAAACATTGGGTGCGACCATACCTGCAGAAGACAAAAATGTACCAGTACGTGGTGCACTCCCAACGCTCAAACACAAAGAAGGATAGGGCCACAGATGCACTACAGTGAGCCGCAATGGCTTGGGAACGCACCAAAGTCAAGGAAAGCCTTTGGATCAATAGGTAGTGATGAGCCAGAAAAGGCCAGTGGTGGGACTGGCATCTGCATTCTGGTTCACCTCCTGGAGAGCAGGGCACCTCTTGCTCCCTTTACCACACTGCAAAGGCCAGAGCCAGCAGCCCTGACTTCTGAGTTTTAGGACTGCCATGTGCGTGGAGGCCAGAACTGAGCCTGCACAGCTGGGGCCCCAAGCTACCACCACCCCATATCTATCAGGTGAAGTAATAGGCTCCCCACCTACTCCAAGCACACGGGAATGCTCACAGTGACATTATACACCCTGCTAGAATCACTCTCCAGCACCCTGGTCCTCCCCGTCCACTATCCCAGTGTCAAGAGCCTTCCCTGATCCATCTTCCTCAGTCTCTTCTGCATTCCCATAGTGCTTCACATCTTTACACATCCTATGGCACAGTACTTATCACACTGAATTACAGATGTCTGTTTGTGTGTCTGCCTCTTTCTCAAGATAGAAAACTGTGTCTTACTCCCACTTTGAGATCTCCAGTGCCTGACGCATAGCAGGAGCTTAACAAATGATCAAAGATTGTATTAAATTTTCTACATTACCTAAGAAGATCTCTCAACTGGAGGGATTCTGTTTGCCTGCTAGGGCAAACACCACTGTGCCAGAAAGGCCTAGTTAGGTGGCTGAAGGGCGTTAAGATGGAAATGGGCCGTACAGGAAAGGTGCACAAGTAGAAAGGATACAGATGAGGCTCTGGGTGCTGTTGAACATGGAAACTCCTGAGAAGAAACCGGCCAGCTCCACTGCAAAGAGGGCCAGGGTGACAGAGAGCGCTGCCACCAGCCTGCAGAAAGGAAGGGAGCTGGCTTAGGCCTTCTGGCTTTTTTCTAACACCCCTTCACTTCCACTACTGCTTAATTCTGACCACCCTGCCCCAAGTGCTCACTGCATGTCCTGCTTTTCATACTCCTCAGGGGTGAACTTGAGAGGCAGGCAGGCCTGGATGTTGCTGTCCTGGGGAGCAGGGCAGAAAGAAAGAGAATTTGAAAGAGGGTCGAGCGGCGGATGGCGGGGGAATGGGAGGACCCCACCAGGTAAGGCCCCGGGGGAAAAGGTGCGGTGGGGCTGCGACCACCCCAAGGCGGGAAGGGGGGCGAGAGGAGGGGGGGCCATGGGTCTTACCCGCGACCAAAATAAGGTGATGACGACCACCAAATGCGCCAGGAGCGTCAGAAAGCGAGAGGGCACGAGTCCCGAGATCCGACCCATGGCCCCCAGTGTAAGGGTTACCGCCTGGAGCAGAGGCCGTAGTCTCTGGGACTGGAAGCTCAGGGAGGGCCACTCCTCAAGTCTCCCAGGCTAGCCTACAAAAATTCGACGTACTCCGCCTTCCCGCTCGCGCTGGTGCCGCCCAGTTGCCTTGGTAACCGCATAAGCGGGGGCCACGACGGGAATCTCTGAAAATATCGCGAGAGTGGTAAATTATCGCGCCGCCGAGAACCCCCAGAGGATCGCGGGTACGGGCCCCCTGAAACTCATCCAGGCCGGGTGCGGACTGTCAGCCGCCTCCCCGCGCGCAGGCGAGCTGTAGGCACCTGAGAGTGTGCGGCGGTGGCGCGGTCCCGCACTGCCGACTCTGCCCGCGCAGCCCAGGTGAACGGAAACCCGCCCTGCCTAGCCCGGGACACTCCTTCCTCCCCGGATACCCACGCCGGGAGCCGCCCGGCCCCCAGCCCCCGCTGCGCTGTCCAGGACGACCCTCCGGATACCACTGTCACCGCCACGCTGGCCTTAGGGCATAGCCATGTCTGAGGCCTGGACACTCTCTTTTCTTCCATCCTCCGCATCCGTTTAGCTTCCACCTGCCCTGGGCCGAACTTGGAGAGGTGGATGCCCCTACGTTGTCCGGCTGTCGTTTATTCTCCCGGAGCCCCTGGTTGTCGGCGGACAACCGCTTGTCGGCGGACAAGGTTCATACCTGAACCTTCCTTGATTCTGGTTCCCCCCAACCAACTCCCCAGACAACTTGCTCAGATTGATGAGGGATTTGCAGAGTGCAGAAAATGGCCCGCTCTCCTGAACTAGGGTGTAGATCAGAGGCGTGTTTAGGGAAGGGAGTGTACGAGAAAAGGGGGTGGAGCGGGGAGTGGAGGAAGAGAATGAAACCCTGAGTCCCTGGAAGGCAAGGATCCAGGGCGGAGATGGAGACGCCGCAACGATTTCCTTATCTCTTTGAGCTGTGGGCACGACTTAGCCCAACTACAGTCCAAGCATCTCTCACTATCGCGACCTCACTGACCTTTGGGCCTCAAGGGGGATCCCTGCAGAACGGAAAGTTCTCGCCCGCATTCATTGCTCAGTCTAGTCACAACCTCTCAGGGGCCTCCCTACCCACTTACCAGATCATCTCTCTTCCTACTGTCAAACATCTATAGTAAGAATAGAAAAGAGTTTTATTTGAACCAAACTAAGGACTAGCCCGGAAGCCCACTTCCCAGATCACTCTGAGAAACTGCCCCAGGGAAGCATGGTTTCCAGTACAGTTTTATATCTGGTCAGAACAAAGAACATTAAACAAGTAAGTGTTACATTTCTTCATGGTTTAAAAAAAAAAAAGAACAGACCATGAGTACACAGCAAGTCAGTATGGTGTTGGCATCTGGGAAGGGAGTCTTATCATCAAAAGAGGACCAGCATTGGCATCCCAAGAGGGGCATTTAATCTTTATTTTTAACATGGACATTCTTTACTTCTGGTCAGTGTGCCCTTTTCTTTAATAATTAAAGCAGATGTACAATGTATGTTTGATAGGCCACAAACAGGCTGTTTTAGTTAGCATAAAATTCAAGTTAGGGGCTTCCCTGGTGGCGCAGTGGTTGAGAGTCAGCCTGCCAATGCAGGGAACACGGGTTTGTGACCCGGTCCGGGAAGATCCCACATGCCTTGGAGCCTGCGCCCCACAACGGGAGACGCCACAATAGTGACAGGCCCGCGTACCGAAAAAAACAAAACAAAACAAAACAAAATTCAAGTTAACTCATGTTTAAGCCAGAATGACTTCCCCATACCTCAATATGTGAATATTTCTTTTATCACTACTCTTCATCTCAGTGCTTCTAGGAGGGTCTAAACTACAAACCCTAGAGACATTTTTTATTTCTTCATTCATTCATTCAACAGATATTTATTGACTAGCTATAAGTCCCAGGCACTGTGCTGGGCTCATGTTCTTGAAGAACAAGTCAGAAGTGTCTACCTTCCTGGGGTCAGAGAGATCGACAACAAACAGGCAAACAAATAATATATCTGCATGATAATAAGTGCTGTAAATAAAAATTTTTAAGGGAAATATTAGAATAATGTGATCAAGGAAAGTTTCTTTGAAAATGGGTCATTTATTCTTAAACTTTGTTTTAGGAAATGTGGTCAAAAATGAGAGGAAATGCTTTTCTCTCTTCCAGGTCCCCAATGTAATAAATGGATTTCCTTTTTTCTAAACCAGTGGGTGAAAAAATTAATAAGTCAAAGAGACAGTCAAAAGATGTTTCCTCAAGGTCATGAAAGACAAAGAGATGTGACAAAAATGGGCAAACGACAAGGTCCTGCTGTATAGCACAGGGAACTATATTCAATATCCTTGTATCTGAATCACTTTGCTTTACAGCAGAAATTAACACATTGTGAAACAACTATACTTCAATAAAATAAAAAAAAAAAAGACGTGCCAAATTTGACATGAGAAATTTAATGTGTTATCCTAATGGATCCTGGATCAGGAAAAAAAAATTTTTTTATTATAAAGGACATTAGTGGAACAACTGGCAAAATTTGAATAAGGTCTCTAGCCTAGATAATAGTACTGTATCCGTGTTAATTTCCTGAGTTTTTGATAATTCTACTGCCTTTATGGAAGAGAATGTCTTCGTTAGAACTTTTCTCTGGGAATAGAAAGGCCAGGACTTCAGAGCCACGCTCCCCCAGACAGTTTATCGGGTCTGAGTATTCACAGGTGAAGGAAGCACTGTCCTAGAGTGAAAGTGAGGAAAGCCCATGACCCGCTTTTGCAAGATTCTCCAAGGTCCCTGGAGCAAATAGAATGAACAGAAGGAGTCAGCTGTATGAAGATCTGGGGAAAGAGCATTCCAGGTGAGGCACAGCAAGTGCAAAGTTCCTTAGGTGGGAACAAGCCCAGTGTATTTGTTGAACAGAAAGGGAGCTAGTGTGTCTGAAGCCCATGATGGAAGGGGAAGAAGAGATCAGGGCGAGGTGGGATGGGTAGACAAGGGACATGGCCTTGCAGCCATGTGGAGGGACAGGCTCAGATTTGTATAACATACATAGATGACTTTGGTTGCAACGTGGAGAATGGATTTTAAGATTTTAAGCAGAAGGTCTGTGAGGAAGCCACGGTGTTATCCAGGAAAGATAGGATGAGATTGGACCAGAGTGGAGTCAAGGAGGTGGAGTGAAGTGGAAGGAATCTAGAGATCCTTAGAAGATAAAGTCTGAACATGGGGCTGTGGGTGGATGAGAAAAAGGGAGCGGTCAAGGATGACTGTTAGATTTTGGGCTCCAGCAGCTGGAAGTTTGGGGTATTCTGCTCATAATAGCCTTCCTGCCTAGGGGACCTATAGATAGTAAGAACTGGGCAGTCACAGTTCACATTGTGAATTAGTAAACAGCAAGCATTTAGGTCTGTCCTGTCACTTCCCATGACCTTGGTTCAGGGAAGCCTGCTCTAGTCTCACAAAAGCGAGTTTTGGAGCCACCCTGTGGCCACAGGAGGTATTGCTGGTGACCAGGTGTCCTTCCCCAGGGGGCCACTCGTCCCAGGGCTGGAACTCACATGTCCCAACATTTGAACTGGTCATAAAAGAATTTAGAAAAACATTTTTTAAATCACAGAAATATTCAAATATATGTAGAGATAAAGAAAAATAAAGAAAACCCTATTTGAAGCCTACCGTTCTGCTTCAGCAATTACCAACACATGACCAAACTTTTTTCAGCTATCCTCTCCCTCCCAGTCCACTGGGTTATTTTGAAGCAAATCCCAGACATCACGAAATAATTCTGTCCAGGAGGAAGAAATTTCCCCCCATCTCTCTTGAGTTCTTTTAGCTGATCTAATAATTACGTTGACACAAGACATTAACAGGAGGAAAAAAACAATTTAATTCATACACAGGGAAGTCTCATAGAAATGGGACCACTGAAGCGACCAAAGCAGGCTGTTTATATATCATTTTTTGACAAAGAAATATTATTTGTGAAGATTTAACAAAGGGGCTTGTGCTAGGGGTAGCTGACTAATGAAGACATTTGTTACACAGCTTTCTTAGCCTTAAATTCCCTCATTCTGGTGATGAAATAAAATTTATATTTTAAGGCAGGACAAGAGAAACTAAACATAAAATTCTCTCTGTGTGTTTGTTTGGCCCTCCTCCCTCTCTCCCTAATGTGCAGTGTGTATCTGCATTACACATTAGCCAGAGCTCCTCAAAGACAGAAGTGGCTGCTCAACTGTAAAGATCAATTTTTCCCCCTTTCTTCTGATGCTAGTAGTGTAACTGTTTTTTTTTTAACTTCTTAAAAGAATAGCATTCTTTCCCAACTCTGTTGGGCGTCATGGTGACTTGCCGGTCACTTTGTAAGTGCTTATCTGGACTATGTACCTTGGTGAACTTTATATAATACATCAGTATGTCATTTTGATGTATGACCCCTTGTCTTGAAAATGTATATGACTGTGCCTTGGACTTTTAACAGGCAGCACATCATGCTTGCTTGTCTCTCTTTTTCTGGTTTTTAATCTGAGCAGTGGGTTCAGGTGTAGTCAGACTGAGGCAACCACTGTAAAGTTCCCCAACAGTTTTTCACCTACTGGTTTAATTAATCTTCACTGCCTAGCTCCATTATTTCAAGGGGGGTTTGCAAACTGGGGATGTCCTAATTCTATCATTCCTTCTGCATTTGTCACCTGGGATTCTCCTGTAAATAAGAATGTGCCCTTATCGACTCATTGTTTACCATGAGATACAGGTCATACAGGAAAGGTTGGATAAATGTGTGATTTTCACTCCATTAGTTACCAGTTTTCAGAATAATGGTTCCCCAGTATCCTCCCAAAGTGACTAATTAGTTGTTTTTACTTGTTAGATTTTAACATCTTTTGTGTGTTTCAGTGCATTGCAGTTGTTTTGCTTTTGGAGTCTCAGATTGTCTCAGTCTGGGGTCAGCACTGTCCAATAGAACTTTCCATGATGATGGAAATACTTCATATTGTCTCTGTCCAGTATGGTGGCCAGCTAGCTCCCTGTGGCTACTGAACACTTGAAATGTGGCTATTTGGACTAAGGGACTGAATTTTT